TCCGATGCGCGTCGGTCTCGGAAAAGGGAAACAAGGAACGCAAGGAAAACCGCGAGAGACGAGAGGAATTTACCCGATGGAAATGGGGAGTTTGAACGCCAGGCTCGGACGTAAAGCAGCGCTCTTTGGGGAGTTGCGTGTCGATCTTCGTCCTGTGAGGAGCTCTGCTCTGGTTGCTCGCGATTTCGTTCTGTTTGTCAGGAACTTCTTTGTGTTGTTCTCTTTTCATTGCGTGGTTGTTCTCCTTGCGAGGGAACCCTGTCTTTGCATCTTGTTAATAGTGCCTCACATTGAGTCTTGCGAATTCCTTCCTGTGTCTCTTCAATTTGGGATCAACATCTCAGCACGGATTTCGCCTCATCTCCAGCACTAGGATCAGTTCCCCCCAAAAAAACGGCTAAGTCCCACTAATATATCCACTTTGACTATTCCCTACGTTTATTTGATATAATATCTAGCATTCACATCATTCTTATTTTAGACTGTTCATATTTAGACTGTTCGTTTTTCTCCCATTAATAATAGAGCGTCGGTATTCTTACGCGTCTAGGCACGCCGCTGGCCATTTTGAAGTAGTTTAGCGTTCATAGAGTGTGTATTCCTCCCCTGAGGATCTATGTGGATCTAGGTACGCCGCTGCTCTAACAACATGGCGGCCGCCTTGCGCCCGCGTGTGTAGCCCTGGCGTAGGCCTAAACCGTTTCAATACCAATCAAATTTCCTCGAGTATGATGAACGCTTCCCACACCACCTTCCAAAATGGTCAGTGTTCTGAGTCGGTTTGAGGCTAGATGTAACAAGAGGGGTAGACAGATCGCTGGGATCATTGGGAAGATCACTTACGCAGGCGGTGAATGTACCGTCACGATCATATCCTCCTATGTTGATCTTCGGGAAAGTGAGCCTGCAGAACTTTAATCCATTTGGTGCTACCTTGACGCTTCTTCTACCATCCTAAATTTGCCTAATAATAGGTATCTCAAGACGATTGTTGAGACTAATGCCTCTGCTGCTTATTACCCGCGAACCTATAAGGCAGTAAGTTACTAGACCATAGGCTTAACGGAATGACAAATTGCGTGGACGAAGTCCGCGTGAGCGGAGTAGAATGAAAGGCATGTAGTTCAGCATGGATATTCCGTCAGTGAATGATTTCTACAGGCGATGGTCTTCCTACATTTAATTTAAGGATTTTATGTCAAGGCTTTGAGGTGCGGGCAGAACGTAAGTACGTTATATTACACGATCATCGATGTATTGTCTTTTCCTCGTAATGCATATAAGGCCGATGAACCATTTCTAAAGCTCTCTTCTCTACCTTTTTCGACCTTCATTTCTACTGATATCTGACGTCTGTGACTGTCACATTACACGATGGTTATAATACTTATGAGAAAAGCACGTGGAGTTCCTTGTAATGGTTTTATTGTCTCCCCATCGCCTCAACTAGTACTCCACTTATCTCCACTAAAAGACATAATAGTATGCATCGCCCCGTGTCCTTGGGCCTGGAAAAGTGTAGATTTATAGGCTTCTCACGTCATGCTACAGTAGCAGAACTCATGATAAGATGAAGAATCAGAGTGGGAATAGAAAATACAGATTAGGTCTAGTGGAACCATTCCCGTAACTACTATCTCTCCTTTTTCTGCCTTGCTCATTCGTCGACTGTTGTATGGAATCGGAAACTCCTGTCCAATTTGAACCTGTGCCAGCACTCTTCCTTTCCCGATATTAGACGCACCCGTTGCTACAGTAAAAGGCCTTGCGAAGCACATTTAGAGTCCCGAGAAGATGAATCATGAAATCCCCGTGTGTACGCTTTCAACGTGTTTATATGAACGAGCGCTGTCGTCAAGTGTGCGGCGATATGAATCGGAGTTTCCGGGAAAGCAGGAAAAAGTGATGTTTTTCATGTAGGAAGAAGGGAAAAACCTCTCCTATTCCTAGGAATACTGCTACTTTTCCTCGGAAAACGTCCAGCTGTAAACGCAAAGCCCCGTGACATACCATCCACCCGTCCATTCCCACGTTCTTCCTATATATTCACTCGGCAACCCAGATTTTTCTGCACAGCAGCTCAAGCGACTTCTCCTCAACCACTCATCTTTTCATTGGCCCCCACACCCGCTGATTCTCATCTCTACACTATCATGAAAGTAAGCCAATTTGGAACATATTCTATTTTACCTATTAGTCTCCTTTCCATGACGGCTTCTTGGAATTTGCAGCTAAAGGTTGTCGAATTAGTATCCCTGCTCCTGGAACTGGTTTGCTTCGTGGGCACTTCCGTGTCCCAGGAATGTGGCGGGGTGCTCACAGAACCCTATGGGGATATCAAATCTCCTGGATATCCCGATTCCTATCCCCCTAACGTCAATTGTCACTGGGAAATCCACGTGAGTACATTACATCCGACATTAGCCCTACTCATTACGTCTAGGGTGTAGGTTTTTCTAGACTGACAATTAAATCCCACGGTTCGATGAGTATGTCGGTGATTTAATGAAAAACCACCGTCTGGGTTATTTCTTAGGAACACGTCGCTGAAGAAACTACTTTCTCCAAATGTTCTTATGACAAGTGTTGTAACAATTCCTTAGTTCCTAACAATACATTACAAAATTTAGAAGCTTAAAATGTTAAAACATTGTAAAAATTTAACCAGGTATAATGGAAAGGTGCTGAACCGTTCTACTTGGATGAAATTGTTGTTGCAACGGATTTGAAACAGATGCTCGCTCAATTTCGATCAATGTTCTTATTTTTCATGAATTTAAAGCCAATTTCCCTCTTTCTTCTTAGGCTCCAGCAACTCGTAAAATCATCCTCACATTCATTGACTTCTTAATCGAGGAATCCGTGGATTGCTTTTCTGGCGATTACCTCGCCGTTTCCGATCCAGAAGGAGAGCAAAAAGAATTTTGTGGCCAAGATCATCCCTGGACGATCGAATCGATTGGGAACACACTTTCCATCACTTTTAACTCCGATTCCGACGATCAACAGGGATTCCGATTTTACCTGGCCTATGTCACTGTGTCCAAATGCGGAGAAGGCTGGCAAGAGTTTGGGGAGCATTGTTACTATTTCTCCGACGTGGAAATGACCTTTGACCAAGCCCAGGTAGACTGCGAGACCAGGAACGCTCAATTGACCAGTGTACACTCTAGGGAGGAGCAGTTGTTCGTTCAGGAGCGAGCGCAGACTCCTACTGTTTGGATTGGGGCAACAAACACCGGAGATTTATCGGTGAATCCTTTGGACTTCGAATTCCTCGACGGGACACCCACCGATTACCATAACGCGTGGCAGTATGAGGTATGGACCCCTCTTCACTCGTGCCGAGGGGGAGGATGCGGAATCCTCTTGGTCCCAGATCGGTGGGCCAATCGAGATTGTTCAGAAACCCGCCCAGTGATTTGCGAATCAACCGTAGACTTAGGGGAAGACTGGCACTGTTGGGAGGTAGAGATGAATATGTATTGCTTCCATGTGTCGAACCAATCCTTTACCTTTAGTAAAGCCTTGTCTCACTGCGAGGACTCTGGAGCTGCTATACTTTCCATTGGTGGTGACGAAATTAATCACATGTGTGTGGCTCTTATCCTTCAATATGACGAACGCTTCCCGCATCCCCTTCCGAAGTGGACGGAATTTTGGATAGGCTTGAGGCTAGATGTGACGGAGGAGTGGACTTGGTTGGACGGGTCTCCGTTTCAAGTGGATCGTTGGGAGGAAGGGTATCCCACTGACGACGGTGGCGAATGCGTTGTGATGACCACATCCTCGTGGGATGAACTCCGGAAAAGTGAACATGCGTCCTACGTATGCAAGAAGTCGCCCTGAAAAGCTCCGCTAGGATGTGCGTGTGTGGTCATTTTCGCTTTCGCAGCTTTCAAGAAATGTTAATAAATGCTTAGTAACAATTATTTTTCTCTTCCATTATCGAAGCAACCGAAGGCGGCGCGATCTTAAGGCTGCAAAATGGATTCAGATGAAAATGAAATTCAAAGGCCCTCTCTTTTAATACTTAAAAACGGATTCTCTGTAAGCGGTACAATGAGTCCTTTTGTCTAGCCTTTGGCCGAAAAAGTCAGTTTTGTACGCATCGAGCTTTAGGCTAATATAACAGGTTTAGGTCAGAGCGGCGGATCGACGGGATAAAATGTCTGGTATGCAATGTGTTAAGCATCTTTTCCTCGAGATTCCACTCGGCCTATGCTACTGCGCCCTAATGCGGAGAAGGCTTGCAAGAGTTTGTTACATCTTAACTTTGACTATACTCCACTTTGACTATTCCCTACGTTTATTTGACATAATATCTAGCATTCACATCATTCTTATTTTAGACTGTTCGTTTTTCTCCCATTAATAATAGAGCGTCGGTATTCTTACGCGTCTAGGCACGCGCTGGCCATTTTGAAGTAGTTTAGCGTCCTTAGAGTGTGTATTCCTCCCCTGAGGATCTATGTGGATCTAGGTACGCCGCTGCTCTAACAACATGGCGGCCGCCTTGCGCCCGCGTGTGTAGCCCTGGCGTAGGCCTAAACCGTTTCAATACCAATCTTCCTTCATTCTCCTCGACCCTCGCAATCAACCTTTCTCATTTCTATCTTCGCTCACCTATCCTAGGCTTAGGCCACCAAGTGGCGTTTACGTTTGGTCTTCATATCGAGTGCTGTCATTCCCACTCCCTGCATTACCCTGCCAGCTCCACCCAGAACATCCCGGATGTCTCCTCATCTCCTGAGGAGCTCCGGCATCCCTCTCCCCCCTCGCACATCCATTCCCTCCCGCACCCGAAGTGTTATCACTTCCACCAATGCACCAAAACTCCCACCTACTCCACAATCCTTGTCACCAGCCACCTCACCTTCCCTGACTAACATCCACCCCTTGGAAAATCCCTCACCTTCCCCTTCCTCATGTTCCACACCATGCTCCCCATCCTCAACCGATTCTAGCTTCGAACGGGCTGTGACCCAACTCGACCGAATGATTACTGATGACCGAATGAACGAAGGCCAACTTTCTGTAATTCCCCAAAAGCCTTGTTCTGATCCCCAACCTGCGGTCCTTTTTCTAGGCCGATCTTTTGACATCCCTACCCAGGATGAATCTGCAGATGGGGGCGAATTCACCCCAGTAAAACCCAAGCATAAGCAAAGGAAAGCCCCCCATCTTCCCTCCCCCACTAGGCCATCCCTCCCTAAATATAATTTTCCCCTAATAATCCAGGGGTTGAAGGAACAGTTCCTTGCTCCCCTCAAGCTACAACGTGCTCTTCGAGAGCACTTTAACTTCACTCCCAGTGAGATGCGTCGCGCCAGGGGGGGGTTTGTCCTGGGCTTCGCCAATGCTAAAGACATGAATTCAGTGCTACAGGGGTGGCCAACAGAGAAACTCGGGGGACTGGCTAAGCCGCCAGGTTCCCTCACCCCCACTGATACACGAAAGTTCGTGATCAAGGGGGTGAGCCGAGAGGACGACCCTGAGGACCTTGCCACTGAGCTTAGAGAGCTTGGATTTGAAGTGGTCAGGCTCCTTAGAATGAGAAAAACCTCAACCGGTGAGGCCCTCAATTGCCTTCTCTTCGAGACCAAGGCTGATATGTCAGCCAGCCTTGAAGAGGAAGGCCACATTAGCATAGGCCCCCTCAGATTCCTAGTTGAGCCTTTCCAGGTTAGGCCGAGGATGCTCCAATGCCTTAGGTGCCACCAGTATGGCCACACCAAAGCCAAATGCATGAAAAACATCAGCTGCATCTGCGCAGGAGACCACGAGGCCTCCTCCTGTCCCAACAGGGCATCTGGGGTCCGAAGGTGCATCACCTGCAAGGGAAACCATAGGGCCGACTCTCGAACCTGCCCCAGTCGAACCACCCACATGGGGCATCTAGCCAAAAAATTCCCCACCTCTAATCTGGCCATATCCTACGCGGCAGTCGTTGCCAAAAGATCCGGTACACCCGTGCCCATCCCTGCTCCCCTTCCCGAACCACCTGTCCCAGTGCCTTCCCCTCCTCCAATCCCTAACCATCCAGCTCCCACTCCCAGAAAAAGAATGACCCCCATCCCCCAACCACCCAAGCCATCCTCTCCCAACAAATCCATCAAACCCCAAACCCCCATTCCTCCATCTGAACCTACTATCCCTCATAAGCTTATCCCTACCCTCATAGAACTAGCTACTAAGTGCATCCAAGTCTTGAACGAGTGTGCATGGGACTTTAAAGCCGCCAGCAGCCGCATAATCATAGTCCTAACTGAAGTCCTTCTTTCCTCCAAACCATGAAGGTCTCCCCTGCGCGTGCCCTGACCATCCTACACATTAACATCAATGGTTTTAACGCTAAACGGGCTGAGTTCATAAACTACCTTGAAGAGGCCAAGCCTCATATCATTTGTGTCAGTGAACTCAAGCGTAAAACGCCTCCTTGTATCAAAGGATTCTATTCTTTTAAACCTCCCCACCCTAATAGACCCTATAATGGAGGCTCTGCCATTTTCATCTCTGATAAGCTTGATGCTGAGGACATTACACCTTCCCAGCCTACTGCTACTAATATTGAACTAATAGGAATCAGCATTAAAGCAAATGGAACTAAAATAAATGTCTTTCACCTCTACTGCCCACCCTCAACCCTGACTCAATCCGACCTCGACCGTCTCCCCAACAACTTCCTGGACCCTACCCTCCTCATAGGTGACCTGAACGCCCACAGCCCCATCCTCTCCTTCTGTGACAAGACCAATCGACATGGACGACTCATATCCTCCTTCCTTGACAACTCTGACTTTTCCCTCATCAGCAGTCCCGAACCAACTCACAGCGCCTTCTCAAACCCCGACTCCCCACCCTACAGGCTTGACCTGACGCTTGCCAACCCCTACATCCTCCCCCTAATCCATGACTGCTGCATAGGAAAAGACCTGGGATCTGATCACCTTCCCATCCTTGTGACAATCAACCTGTTCCTGCAGGAAAGAGTGTCAGCACCCCGGACAACACCTGACTTCCCCAGAGCCGACTGGACCCGATTCCAACTGACCCTTGACACCTGTCTCCCAGACACCCTCTCCATCCTCTCCACCGACAACATCCTCTCTGCAACCCAACTCATCACTGAGGCCATCCAAATAGCCCAGGATGACTCCATCCCCCCCTTGACTACCAAAACCTCCAGACCATACCTCCTCTCCCCAACAACCCTTTCCTTAATTAAGAAACGAAGGGCCACTAGACGTAAATTCCATCTAACTAAAGCTCCTTGCCTCAAAAGAGCTATTCTTGATCTCAACAGGGAAATCTCCTTGCAACTTAAACTAGATGCTAACTACTACTGGGACAACTACTGTAACTCTCTTGATGAAGAAACTGACCCCAAAAGCTTTTGGAAATTATTTAAGAGAATAGGCAAACCTAGTAACACTTCTTCCAGGCCTCTCCGTCATGAAAACATGACATCAACCACCTCTCAGGGAAAAGCTGACATCTTTGCAGCCTCCCTGGGAGCCACAATGACTTGCCCCCCCTCTGCTCTCCCCCCAGAAGCCTCAAAAGAGGAACTAGAGCTTGATGCAATAATAAACTCTTACTCTCCCTCAAAGGTAAATGAGATTGAACCATCCCATGAGTTACTAGGCCCAATAACTATTGAGGAAATAATTAAAACCATTCTCCCTCTACCTAACAAAGCCCCAGGACCTGATAAGATTTACAACAAAGCCCTCCAGAAAGGTACATTTAAACTGTACGAATTACTTGCACAACTCTACAACGCTTGCTTAAAATATAGATATTTTCCCTCAAACTGGAAGTCGGCTCTCGTGACAATGATCCCAAAGCCGGAAAAAGATCTAACTAAACCTTCTTCTTACCGGCCCATTAGCCTCCTCAGTGTCCTGGGCAAAATTCTAGAGAGAATAATTACAGATAGGCTATCTTCCTTCTTAGAAAACAATGGCATCCTCCACCCAGCACAGGCTGGCTTCCGGCGCAACATGTGCACTTCGGACCAGCTCGTCCGTCTACAAAACGACATTCTGAATGCCGGCAACAGTAACTATCCCCTCCTAGCACTTTTCTTTGATGTTGAAAAGGCATTCGACAGAGTCTGGCATAGGGGACTACTATATAAACTTAGATTTAACTATAATCTTCCCCTAGACCTGGTTGCACTTGTGGAATCATATCTCACTGACCGCACCCTAAGAGTAAGAACAGAAGATGCAACCTCTGAATCATTTTCAATTTCCGCAGGAGTCCCCCAAGGTTCAGTTCTTGCCCCCCTCCTTTTCCTCCTGTATGTAAATGATCTACCACTCTGTCTCCCACAAGGGGTTAACATCTCCCAGTTTGCAGACGACACGGCAATCTGGATCCGAAGTAACTTGAAAGCAAGGTTGGGCACAATACCATCCCTAGGCCAGGAGGCCCTGGATTGCATACATCATTATAGTTCTAAATGGAGAATTTCAATGAACCCCACCAAGTCAACTGCCCTCCTATTTGCATTCAATAAGCTTGATCCCCCCAATTTAACACTTGGTGGCAAAACCATACCCTACTCCCCTCATGTTAAATTTCTTGGTCTCACATTTCAAAGTAACTTCTACTGGACCAATCACATTGCATACCTAAGAAGTAAAGCTAGGCGTAAACTTAATTGCCTAAAAATAATAAGTGGGACCAACCGTTGCAATCCAGGAACAGTACTGCATCTTTATAAGACCTTCATCAGGCCGGTACTCACATACGGCCACGCAGCCTGGGCCAACTGTTCTGATTCTGGTTTTTTAAGATTACAGACAGTCGAAACAGCAGCCATCAGGTACGCACTAAGGCTCCCAGGCTATGTCTCTAAGAAGTACCTTTATCAACAATCCAAAATAGAGCCACTGCCGCAGTACGCCTCCAACCTTGCTTTGAAATACCTTGAAGACACAAAGCGCCCGGATGACATCCACCACATCAGGGCAACTACCAACAGGAAAGTTAAATTTAAAAGGCACAAAAGAGTAAGAACTTATCCTGTATTCAACTTGATCCGCAGAACCGAGGATGGCCAGGGCCCCCCCCCCATCCCCAGCCAGCAAAACCCCTAGCCTACATCTATTGAAATACATATAGTCTAAGTGATACTTTTTGCATTCTTTAGGGTTTAAGGAGAACCAGTCAGTCCTGGGCCGAACATTGGAGCAGGCCGCAGAAAGAACACCTCAACCTGCAAGATGACTCAGAACACCTCAACCTGTCAGATGAAACCCACAGTTGCAGGCCCAGAGCTAAGTTACCCGCTAACTCCTATATACTATGAATAATTCTCTATTAACATAATTCCTGAGGAAGAAACCGTGAGAGTGAATGAATGAAAGTCTGAATGAAATATGGCCACTTCTCAAGACCTATATTACAAATATTCCAGCTGTCCATACCTGGCCAACACTATTATTGCTACAATCCTTTTCATAAATTAATTCCTAAAAAATATTTAAAAAAAAAAAAAACAAATAAAAATAAATAAAAAATAAAAAAAAAATTCAAAAAGCAAATAAAACCAACTAAAAATCAAAAAATAATATTAAGGACAATGACCATGCCAACTAACAAAACTTTCACCCCCACAGAGACCCCTGGCCTGAAAACACCATCTGGTGGCTGGTCGCGGACCCACTCAACCCCTCCATCACTTCTCTTCAACTTCATGCGAATGAAAACCAACCATCTCACCCGATCATCAAATGTTTCTATATTCCACTCTGTATATATCACTTTCCCCACTTCATATCCTTCTCTTCTGTAAAGGGCATGCAATGTAAATAAAGGTCATTGAACATCTTAACGTGGAAATGTTCGTTTGACCAAGCCCAGGAGTGCCTAATTAACCAATATACCTAGGTACATTCTAAGGGAGAGTACGCTCACTCCTGAACGAACAAGAGTACTTGTTCGTTCAGGAGTGAGCGCGGACTCCTACTGCTATGATTGGGGCTACAAACACGGGAGGTTTGTCGGTGAATCCTTTGGGCTTTGAATTCCTCGACAGAACACTCACTGATTATAATAATGTGTAGCAGGTGTCCTTTTAGTCCCAAATCGGTGGGTAAACAGAGACTGCTCGGCAACTCGGCCAGTGATCTTGAGGACCCTTGATCCCTTGAGGACCTAGGCGAGAACTGGCATCGTTTCAATGACTTGTTTCCTTGTGTCGAACCAATCGTTTACCTTCAGTGACGAGGATTTCAAATCCGTAATTGATTTAATTTATCATCATTTAATTCCACGGTCACCTTTATTGAACTTAAAAGGAAACATGAGTGATTTGATCGAGGGCATTTGATAATAAATCGAGAAGAGTGCAATGGATCATGGAATGGCTTTAGGAGAGGAATGGCATCATGAAAAGATTGTCAGTTGGTCGTATCAGGTTGTGGAAAAAGTATTGTCGGTTTTTTCCCCCCGCTGCTTTGGAAGTTCATATCTCGTCACAGAATCAACTTTATTCATCGAAGTAAAAACCATCCGATTCATCAACCTTTTCCCAACGTTCAACAGTATTTTTTATGTCGGACTTAAGAATTTGGGGTCTCTGGACGCGACGAAGTCATTGAATTCCTTTTCGACCTCACCCTGTTTGGTGAAGCGCAACTCCCGCAAGAAATTGTCTAGGGACCTGAAGAAGTGGTAATCAGTGGGGGACACAAAGTGTGAATATGGCGGGTGGGGGAGTGTCTCATTACCCAGAAGCTCAAGGAGTTGGGCTGTCATCTTTGCAGTGCGAGGGCGCGCGTTGTCGTTCAAGAGAAGGGGGACATTGCGGGCTGTTTCTGCTGCAATTTTTCGTCGACGATGTCAAGTTGGTGACAGTAGACCTCGGTAGTGAGAGTGCCACCAGTTTTGAGAAAGTCATAATGGATGATGTCAGCGAGAGACCACCAAACGGTAACCACGATCTTCCTCGATTGGTAGTCGCGTTTCGGCACCTTTGCTGGCAGGTCATCGCGGTTCACCCATTGGCTCGAGCGTCGAGAATTGTAGCATGTGATCCATTTCTCATGGCAGGTCCCGATTCGGTCGAGGAATGGCTCATGCTTGCTGTGCAGATCGCGCGCCGTTGATTTTTGTTCAATTCATGGGGGACCCATTTCTCGAGCTTGCGGACCTTGACGATGTCCCGCAGATGGTTGAAAACAGTCTTGGCGTCAACGTTGAGGATCGTTGCGAGTTCTCGGACCGTCTGGCAGGAGGCCCGACTCCATCAGTGACTTACGAACGGCCAGAGCGCGGTACGTCTTGAACGACGACGCAAATCAAACAGTGACTAGCGGCCTGCGGCCGCTACGCTGGCCGTCTAGTATGTGGAAATTTGAATCGTCTATTGTGAGCATAACGTCTTCTTGACAATCCTCTGTTCATTGCATTACCCATTCGGAACTGAACCGCTTCATTACATTTATACACATATAGCTTACAGTACACGAAGATTCTGCTCCTAAACACCATCATCATGATATTCGAGCTGATTGGCACAATCGCCATTGTGAACGCCTCGGTTTAGCACGTTTTCATGAGACTCAAGACGACATTGCTGATTTCGTCATCCTAGCACATTCAAAACTCTTGCATCACCATATGCTATTAGCGTTAGCATATATTCAATAGTACAGACACCAATGATTCTGAAACAGTCGGGCCATTTCCAAGAACTTGTTCGAAGGCACAGAGGGAATTCAGTACATGTGCGGCACAATGCTAGCGAGTAATTCAGAGCCTCAGGGTAATGTGGTGGCGAGGCATTTTCTGGAAAGTGTTGCTCCTGCTGCAACTCACATTTCAGCACCAGTGAGCACGTTTTCGTTGTGAAACAAATGCCTCCTCCCTACATCAAAATGTACAGCCTGACAGTGCTCGCTGCGGAAACGACTGGAGTGATTTGAGATGACGTGGAGAGGCCTGACAAAATGTCCCGAATTGTAAGCTAAGTACGAAGCCTATGGCTCACAATGATATAGCTCAATGGATCTGGCGCTAAAAGCGTTGGATGGCGAAGACTATGGCCTATAATAACATAGCCTAGAGGACCTGGCGCTTTGAGAGGTGGATGGCGTAGCCTATGGCATGAAGTGACATAGTCTCGTAGGCCTCGCGCTCTGGGGTGACAACCACTACAACTCTCAGACTCTTCGAATTAAAGTATTTGTTTCGAATTAAAGAATTAAATGAAAGTAAAACTATATGCACGTAATATACGACAAAACAAGGTACGATTTGATGTATAACACATGGTATGAAACAAGTGCAACGTTGTCTAGTGAGTTTTCGAAGTTGGCACTCCAAAAACCGACAATAATCTTCCACAATCTGATAGCTAGGTATTTCTTCCCCAGGTATTTTGAAGTAGTACGGATAGTTACCGGGAATGTCAATCTTTGCCAATCAAAGAAAGGTTCGTGAAATTGAGAGCCCTTGCATTTTCCTACATTAACAGCGTTTTGAACCCTGGCAGGTACTTGAATACCCCTTACCATTATGACAACTACTGTGGCGCAGTTCGCTTTCCTACGCTTCAAAAACGAAAAGATCTGGAAGGCTCTGAGCATTCACAATCACAGAGCTGAGAGTGCGGAACGGCTGGAATAAGGTTTTGCGTCCCTGCCACCGCAGCGAGAGCATTAAACGAGATTCGTTTTAATTTTGAAGTTTCATTTAGGGAAAAGCAATGTTATTCCAGAGCCATGTTATTCCAGAGCCAAGTGTTTCACGTGAAAGGCATTTTCCCCATACTACTGTGCTAGGGCGAAATGGTGCAACTTAATGCGAGAACATACTCGTTCTCCCCCCGCTAAATGCCATCAATATCGCTGACGGCCAAATCACGCATTCTATGAATCCAACCTGGCAGGAAATGGATCTCCGACCACCTCCGACGTGGATCCGCATTCTCTTATGATCCCGAGTCCCTTTGTGGAAGGAGTTTGAAACCTTGGTAGGATAATGAAAATTTTTTTATTTAGGAATACGTTCGCTAGTAAATGATTGAAATCCTAGGTTGAAAACGGAGCAGAGCATTGCTTTCAAATGAATGTAGGCAATTTGTCCCAAATTCGACTGGGTGCGTGGAGAAGTGAGCCTCTCGGTTCGGTCCGAGTTCGGACAATTGGCCGAAAGCCGACTGGATACAGGGTGTGGAATTCGGGCTGGAACCATCAGTCGAAGTTTGGACAATTGCCCGAAAACCGACCGGGTGCGTTCAATGATAGTCCCCAGTCTCGACCGAACTCAGTCTTTAGTCTCAGTCTCATATATTGTAGTTGTGGGCCACAATTTAAAATTCATAGGCGTTTATCATCAGTTGCTCCAGAGTAGGCTGGGGGAAAAGTTCCTGGTGATCGAAAATTTGAAGTTGCCTAAAGAAGTCCTTAACATGTCACGAAGTGTCTTAATTACGAGAAATGGCTTTTAACACCACCACAAAAAATAATCAGAAGCGATTTTAGTGGATAAAATTTCATTCCCAAAGAACGATGAANGTGATAGAGTTCGCCATTGATCAGTTGGAATGGCTCGGCAAACTTCCGATAGTCCCGCTTCTGGACGTCAGGCGGGTAGTTCCGTTCTCGCTCCCCAGCGGACTTCAAGAAACTAAGTAGGGCCTGGGATACTGCAGGATCCATGATCAGTCACGAAATGATACAGCTTCTCCTTCAGGCATGTCTTTTATACACCATTGAAAAAAATTTACTCCTCCCATGAGAGCACAAAACGTCAGTTATCATTATCATAGAAATATTTTCAAGACAGGACTTATCGTAACTTATTGTGCGAACTTATCAGTTACCATTATCATAAAATCTTTTGAAGACACAGCTTCTTGTCAAATGTCAACTGTCAACTTCTCATTCATCCCAATCAAATAAATCTTTTGAAGACAAAGCTTATTCTCAAATGTCAAAACAGAGCTTAATGTCAATTGTCAACTTGTCAGTTGCAGTTCTCGCCCGCTCAACACCGCCCACTTTTCAGGCCTGGCAGGGGGGGGGGGGAGATTTCTCACAAAGGGGGGAAAAACCTCATGAGGTTTGTCCTCGGGAAAAATATCATTATGTTCTTCCCCATGGGGAAGAAAATCCCATGATATTTTTCCCCATGGGGAAAAAAAAGGAAGGGGAAAAATATCACGCGACACCGGCACGTTCTTAGGGCTTTGTGGAGTTTCTTTCAAATATATTTCTTCTAAATCCTTGTATTGTTTTCTTGAATTGTCCTTGGTTTTTTCGTATACATTTTTCCATTTTGAGAGTCTCCTGTTAGTTTTCCACAAAGTCTCTGCATTCATGGTTGTTGACCGCTCGAAGGTCGAATTTACGTCTCCCTTACCGTAAGTGTTGCAGTACTCGAAAATAACGAAGCGACCGCTGAAGTATTTGCAAAATTAAAGATTAACCCAAGCCTATTCTCTGGCATTCTAGGCCTAGCCTTGCGCTTACCATGCCCTTCATCTAGAAAGGTGAGGGCTTGAAAGTCCACTGGCCATCTAGTTTACATCCTCTTGGGGCATGGGATCTACCGGCCTACCGTGCG